CAATTTCCACTTTGATCCTTCTCATCAAGGTTGCAAGGTTAGGGCGAGACTGGGACACGGAGGGCGGAGAAAAATGAAAGGAGCCACCGTGGAGAAATTCTTCTCGTCACGCGGCCTCGAACTCGTTAAGCGTCGTCGGCGGGTTAAAAAAGGGGTTGGGGGCGCCTTGCAGAGAGCTCGAAAAGCACCGGACGTAATGGTAACGCGGCGCATACAAACGGCCGCTAATGGCGCGGATAGCTTTTGCTGTTTTTAATTAACCCTTTCTTTCAAGAAGACGGCCGCCAGATGGAACGAGGGGGTGGAAGGACCGAGAAGCCTTTCCCCGGCCCGGTGTGTCCCGTGGGTGATGTAAATACGCGTGGAATTGCACCTAGGAGACAGCCCTCCTACGCCGCGATTAAGCCTTCATCTAATTAGCTCGACTGATTACCGGCACACCCACGGGATCGACCAGAAACCGATCTTTCGTACGCGTGCGAGAATTTATTTAATTTATTCTTCACCTGGCGCGGTTAGTGTGTTTTCTTTCTTTTTTTTTTTCAGCTAAAATCATTCATAAATAAGCTTTACTTAGATTTAGAATAGACTTATAATAAGATTAACTGTAACAAACGAACTGGATAAATGGATGATTAAATGAATGGATTATTGAATTAACGAATGGAATTATTACGCATTTGCGCGATATTTTGAAAATATTTATGCATACAGTATATATTAGTTGTTTGTGAATGATTATTATTCTTCAGACTTTTAAAGAATTTGGAGAGAATAGTTACGATTAATTAATAATTTTTTTTTCTCCTACGAGCAAACGAAGTTTTTATTATAGAAAGTTAAAGATGCAAAAATGCACGCGATATGCAAAAATATATAAAATGTCCAGGGCAGAGCACTCGTTACAATTTCTGATAAAAGGTAAAAATATCTATTTGAATTTTGTTTCTTTAGTTCATAAAAATTCATAAAAATCAGGAGTCAATATCAAATTTATTATAATAATTTCTATTGCGATAGAATAGTTTTTGAAGCATGAAATTATCATCGAAAGCATTGAAATAAAAAGAATAGAAAAGCTTTATAATGCAGAGGCTTCTCCACGTTTTATGAAAAACCATTTAAATTTCTAAAAATACATTTACAAAATTATGAATTTTTCCCTTGAACTATATTTCCATGCTGTCTTCTATTCATTTATTTCCAATTAAATATTTATCACAAACTTCAGCAATACTACTTATTTCAGTGTTCATTTCAATAGTGATGTAAATTAATAAAATTATAAACATCGAGATTTATCACTTGTTTTGCATTCTCTTTCATACAATTATTTGCACAGATTTCACAAAAGAATGTTGGATTGACTGACGAACGTGACAGCGATACGCTTGGAATGGAATTATTATGAGCAATGTACCGTAACGATCGTCCTTATCGGGATTGATAAGCTTATTTTAACTCCGTAGTAATTAATTAATTCTTTCGATAATCCACGAGGAAAATTTTATCTGTCAGCCGCGCTGGACACCACTTTTGTCGTCAAAGATTCCTTGCTTCTCGCTATATTTTGTAACGTGATAGATATTTTATTACATTTTATTATACATTTTTTTTTATTCTTGCTAAAAGTTTGGAACAGCCTCCGTTTTCAAGATGAAATAAATCATTTCGTACGTTCTTCTGAGAAATAAAAGTATTGTAATTACTAATCAATTTCTATCTCAAATATACGCATGTAAATATAAATATAATATAAACTTGTATCATATGTAACGACGTTCCAAATATAAATATATCTCAGTTATAAACGTACCTAAATTTCAATTTTGATCGAAGCTTCTACACTTTAAAATATCAAGTATTATAAATAAATTTGCATGTAAATATATATTTCAAGAAATTGTTATTTTTGGAACTCGAACTCCAGTATTTGTTTGAAGTATATCCCAAAAAAAGTTATAAAAAAAAAAAACAATACTAACCGATATATTTCTCTAGCCGAGTTATCATTATTAAAAAAAAAAGGTCCTTCACGTAATATTCTTGCGATCTTCATTCGCGAGAGCTCGTCGTTCTTCCAAGGAAACTCCACCGTCAGGTGACACGAGTCGAGTCGAGGAATCGCATCACGACGCGTTGGAGGCGTTTCGAAACGGTTATAAAATCAGTGGGTGGAAGCAGTGACGATGGGGAGGAGAAAGAAGAGGAATCGCGTTAGGAGTCGGCGCTTTGTCGCGGTCACGGGGCTGTCAATCACCGGTGATAGGAGGCGACACATTAATCTCAGGAACAGCCCGTTGACCGCACATCGTACTCTCCTCGGCTGCGGTCGAACATCACGACCTCGTCTCTCGCGACCCTTCTCTCTCTCTCTCTCTCTCTCTCTCTC